AATAAGGTAGCATAAAGACAAATGTAATATAGAGGTACAAATATAAATATATGTTATATATTCTTAGAATTCGTACTTCAAAGTTTATTTTAAGTATACAAATTGTACAGATTACATATATGTATATACAAATTCGTAACATAATAACATGATAAAAATTATGAAAGAATTTGTAATTCTGCAGTACTGTATTAAAATTCGTATATACAAAAGGAAAATTCTTTCAATGGAGAAATATTAATTGCTTATTGCATGCCATTCGAATGGCAAGTTAGTCAAGAAAAATATAAAGTTTATGTGACTCCTAAACGATTTTGCAAAAGCTACCGATTTATATGTATAAGAAACTGCTGCTATGTACAGATAATATTCATACTGTTTTTAAACATAGCTTTGTAATTTGTCTTCTGTACATAGAAAAAAAATCTGATATCACAAGGTTAAATAAATAATTTATTCCTGTACTAGAATTTCACAATTAATATATAAAAAAGTTTTAAGTGATTTATAAAGCTACGCTAAATGTAAATAAACAATAAAATTCTCGTTTGATATCAGATTTTTGGAGATGGTGGTTTAGTAACATTAAAATGTATTAATGAAGGAAATGTATGTGTATATACATGTTAAATACATGTACCTTTCAATAAATCTTGTGTTTACATTGTAAACAAGCAATTCATACGTATCGGACACATTTCACGCGTTATATAAGTCTAAAATTTTACTACTTTCTTAGGTTTTTTATTCTCCACTGTTTGGACTCTTTTTGTACTCCCTTCTAAATTTTCTATGTTATCATCTGCGATTGTATTTAATGTAATTGTAGTTTCTTCCTTCTCTTTAATTAAGTCTGGACAATCCTTTTTTAAATGTGTTACATCACCACATAAGTTGCAACTTCCACCCTGAGGGTAAATACCTTTAGGATTATCAGGACATTGTTTAGAAATATGTCCTTGTTCTCGGCAAATGAAACATGTTGCATATCTGAATTCTGTTCGTTTAGCCACTTTGCATTCAAAATATGTATGTTCTGTTGACCCACATTTGTAACAAATGCCAGTACTTGCTTGCTCAGATCCAAGTTCAGGACAATCAGATAAATTGTGTCCTCCTTTGCGACAATGGAAACAAACGCATTTTCTGATTCTTGCTAATGCTTTCTCAGCTCTCCTTCTTTCCAATTTTATTGCAATATTTACTTCATCTCTGGGAATACCTTGAAACATGCATAAAATACAATATTAATAACAATAATTTGAATATATATATATAAGTATAATTACCTTTCATAATCATTTTTTGTTTTAATTCACGTAATCTGTCTGCATCTTCTTTTTTAACTGGAAAACCATCATATTGCGCAAGTTCTATTTCTATACCATTAATCGTTAATTTTGTTGAACCAATAGCTTCTTTTCGTCGTTTGTGTTCCTTATCATCTCGAATTTTTGGAGGTTTTCTATTATTCTTTTTATTATTTTCAAACTTTTTCCAATCAGTTTTTTGTCCACCAAATTTGTAACTGTTTTCATTATTTTTATTCATTTTTCTATTATTATTTCTAGGATGCACGTTAGCTTTCCTCTGTTGTTTCATACTATGTTTAAATAACATACCTTTTTTCCCCTCTGTTACACTTGAATTAGACTCAGCATTTGATATATTTCCTTCAGTATTATTAGTTTGTGA